TTGTCACATATCTACATAAAAAATCCTGTTTATTTTGCTTAAATAGCTCCAAACACTGCTGTGAATCGTCGATGCGTTGTTGTTTTTGATCGACAATGAGCAAACGCGGCACCAACTTTGAGCACAGTTTTCGTATTGACAAATGATCATTCAAAATACTGAATACACTAACTTTTGATACCTTCAAAAACTCTACTATCACACACAGTTTCAATTTCCGTTCGGCTAAAACAATTGTATGGACTTTTTAAATGTTTTCTGAAACAACTGCAGAATTTGGGTGACCTGAGAATTCAGCGTCTGTTTGACCACGTTTTAAGTCAGCATACCAACTCTTGACCATTGTTGGCGATGGAGCAGAGTCTGGATAACACTTACCCAGTCATTGTTTTTCTCGAACAGAGTTTCCTCCCATCAAAAAGCAATGCTTAATTAACAGATGAAATTCTTTTTCATCCACGGTTTCTAAACAGACAAAAGCTACTTTAAGAAAATCAAATTAACTTTTTAACTAAACCAGATATTATCATGACATTTTGACACATGCCGGTTAAAAGCTAGTACTACTAGTTTATGCTTAGGAAAAATAGAAGGTATCACACATATGTCAGGCAGTATATGTCGTAAAACATGGATAAACCTACTTCTAAGTTATATATTTCAAAAATTCTAGTTGAGCCTCTGTACAGAGGTATGAGCTATATACTGGCAAAATATTATTATTATAATAGAAGCATTTTTTCACAAAAGGAGAATATTTTGAAAATGGGTCATTCTATGTTCATTTTTTATCAAAATATTGTACTTAAATAATTTTTTATTGTAATACTATTCTTAAAACAATTTGATACACAGTTTCTAATCTAAGTGACACTAAATATCATAAATATTATCCATTTATACGCTTTTGCAAAATCACGGTTCCAAACGTAGTCGGATACTTTAATTAAATTTTAGGATAAATCTCTCACTGGCAGAAGATTATTAAGTACCTAACATTTTCTGAATTTCTGTTTAATGCTTCGTAAAAATTAAATCTTCTACACTTGTGCAACATTAAAATTATATAAATCAAAATTTTTTCTTTCAAAAATAAAAGGGATGTTTCTAGTACAGTAGAGTCTCGAAAACTTGGCCTAATGAGGACTGAAAGATGGCCGAGTTTGTGCAACAGCTGGTTTATCGTGAAGGGGATTAAAAAAGAATAAGTACCAATGTTTCCTCAGCATATGTTGTACTGCCCTTGTATGTATTTTTGTTTTTGTGTGAATACAACTGAAAATAAATTGCCCAAATACCACTAAACGAAGAAAAATTACGCAATTTATAAAAACATAGAGCATATACTACAATAAAATGAAAACTAATGAAAACACTGTATACAACAGTTTAATTGATCAGACAAACCTCAGAAAAATACTTTATGAATTCATACAGCTGTCTGTGATGAATATTAACCCTCTGGCCGGAGCATAAATTTTGTTTGCCCCGCTCTTAGAAACATCCATCTGACAGACGGCTACGTACATTTTTTTGAATTTTATTACCTTAAGGACTGTATTAAATGTCCTTATCACTCATGAAATTGAGTAGAATTTTTAATATTTAAATCTTTATATGTGAGGCACACTATATTAATATATTTTTATCACAAAAATTGTGACTGGTATTTTTATAAAACTGATTAGAAATTATTTATATTCATGTAAAAATAATAATTCCAAAAACGAAAAAACATAGGAATATCCTTTTGATAGACGGTGATAGATAAGGAAAATCGCACATATCCTGAGTTGAAAAAAATCGCCAAGTACCACCACGTGATCCTCTCACTGGGTAGTGACCAACTGAAGATGTCAAGGCAGCCCACCCCCAAAAGTCACACCACAGTGTTATCTACAGGCATCAAAGCAAATCATCCCCCTCTGAGAGACGGATGTTCCGGTCAGAGGGTTAAGTAGCTGACATTTTGTATGAACTGGCTATTTTTTTTAAAGAAATGCTTACTGTCCGGTTGTCTTCCGTATTGCAATCATTACGAAGATGACGAAGAGGCAGTAAGTCCATTACCAACACACCTCATTGTTGAAAATACTATAGGGCTGTTTCAATGGCTTTTAGTCCATCCCTGTGTGATATTTTAGGAGTTCGCACAGTTTCTCATCGTCAACTTTTTCGTCATTTTCTGAGAAATTTCGTGAACTGTGACAGGAGCAATAATCCAGGTTTATTTTCCCGACCTGCAAGGGTTCGGCTGAATTATCTGAACTTCCGATAAATCGAGTGATATGTTTTTGGAACTCTATAGTATTCTCAGACTTCGGAGCAAAAGACATGAATGTCATCGTAAAAAAATTTATCATTTTGTTGTTTTCAATTTGAATAATAAATACACAGTGATTATTATTTTGAGAATGACATTTAATAT